GATCTCAGATGCCTGTCTGTGTGATGTCACACAGACAGGCCCCTCCCATGATAGTTTGATTGACAGTAGTGTTTTACCTTAGCTCCGCCCTGAGTGAGTTGTCATCAGTCCGCCATTGTTTCACCGCCGGAGCAGATGTAGACAAGAATGACTCCTAAGCGATTGAGGTGTTCTGTTGTTGGATGTAATAATGAACATAGCAGTCGTCATTTACTCCCGACATCTGAGCCGCTGAAATCGCAGTGGATTACCTTTGTTTCTGAAGGGTATGCGTCCCTGATCTACATAAAATGCATCTATGTTCGTGCGAATCATTCATGATCCAGCCTCATCTACAGAAGAAGTGAGTATAATGTTTTGTAATGAATCTTTGCAAATCGCCTTTCCTAATAATGTGCTAATTAGCAAGTTTCACAATGAATGCAGCTAAAGTAAACAGTCTCTCTGAGAGCAGCTGGAAGAGAGGGGAGGGGTCATCATAGCTCATTGACGTTTAAAGGAAAATGCTACAAAAACAGCTTGATCTGAAAACAGCTGTTTTTGACAGGGTAAAAAAGGTGTTTTTTACACTACCATTGAGAAATTTTAACCAAACTATGTTACAGACTTTTCATTAAGACCCTAAAGAATCATATCAACTTGTGGAAAATGGGCATCCTATGACCCCTTAAAGGCAATCAAGCTGCCAAAGATCATTTAACCATGGCTAACTCACATTCTGTTTATCTAAATTATGTGTCAATCCTGCTAAATTCAGATTTTTGTAGTCTAAAAATGACACTTTGTAAATATCAAAGTACAAATACAACCTGTCATGTCACTGAAGTTAGTTATCAGATGCTAGTTGAGAAATTTAAGTTAAATATTTATCTATTGCCATGGCTGATAAATGTATTTAGTGTCTAAACAGTGCAGTAACTGTATACATCACGGGTTTGCCCCTCATTGGTATAATTCACCTCATTTATTCTCTCCAATCAGTGAGCACAAACTAACCACCCATCAAACCGGTAGCCAATCACTGGCCTGCTTATAAGCTGCAGAGAGAGAGAGAGAGAGAGAGAGAGAGAGAGAGAGAGAGAGCGAGAGAGAGAGCGCGAGAGAGAGACTTAGACTTTTCTTCATGAGGGTAATGAGGGCAGCTGGAACATGGGATATGTATAGGATTTCTTCCATGAGTTCTGACTATGAGTTGGCTCTTCAATCTCTCTCATGGAATATTACAGCGGCTGCCAAACCTTTGGTTATTAATGAACCCATGTGACCCGGCGAGGGGACTGCATACTATTTCAGACTGACTTTTATGAGACAAGGGTTGTGACAATAGAGAGAGAGACAGACACATTAGCTCACACTCACATGCACAAATACATAGAGTATGGTATTTGCACACACTACTCTCTTGTGAAGCTGTACAGGTTTTGATCATTTCTTTTGGCCAAAATGTTCTGCCTTTATTGCCTGTGAAACTATTATAAATATGGTAACACTTTAAAATAATGTTCCATTTGTTAACATAAGTTATGAATGAAAAATACTTCTAAATTATTTATTAATCTTAGTTAATGTTGATTCCAACACTTACTAATACATTATTAAAATTAAGTTGTATAAAGTTGTTGTAATAAGTTGTATCTATTAATGTTAGTTAATGGACGTGAGCTATATGGACTAACAATGAACAGTTGTATTTTTATTAACTAATGTTAATACCAATTAATTAATAAATACTGTAACAAATGTACTGCTCATTGTTAGTTAATGCTAGTTAATGCATTAAGTCTAGTTAACAAATGAAACCTTATTGTAAAGTGTAACCATAAATGTATACAAACAGTACCAAATCTTTATTTTTGTCAAATATGAAGCCAAAACTAAAGGTAAAGCATCCTCATTACTGCCTAAGTAAAGACAGATCTCAGTACTGTAAAAAAATAAAATAAATATATATATATATATTATTATTTAAAGTTGTAAATTAAACAAAGATAACTGGAGTATATTTTACAAAAAAATCTATTTCAGTTTACTTCAAAATGTCATGTTTAATTAATTGTTACTTGCTGTTACTTCTAAATTGTTTGTGAAATTTACTAACAATTCCTGTGTTAAAATGTAGTGTTTCTACATAATTTGAGTGATTAATGTGACATAATTTGAGTTTTATTGTGACAGCTGGTTAGACATTTCCCAAATGCATAAACATAATGTAATGTAAGTGCAGATTATGCAATATAAAAAATATAAAAGTTTATCAGCAATTTTAACAAAACTGCATTTCTAACCGTTATTTTAGTACCATTAATATACTATTGTAGTTTTTATTATTTTAAATATATATATTATAAATATATAAATAAATATATATACCGTATATATATATATATATATATATATATATATATAAACAATTTTTAAATAAGTAAAAACAAGTTTATATTATTTTATATTTTAGATTACATTTTATCTTATTTCAAGTCTATAATAACCCTGTTTCTAACGCTAATTAACTTTCTAATTAAAAGTTTCATCCAAACACTGCTGCTTTTCATTTTTTTTAAACCATGACAAATTCAAATCTAACAAAGTCAAATTTAACTTGTGTAATTTTACTGCCCGTGATCACAAGAGCTTCACAAATAGCTGCTTGAACCCTCTATGCATGTGTTCACTAAAAATAGCCATAATTCATGCATTCAATGCATTCATGTGGGTTTTGATTTATTCATTCATTCCAGTTTGTATGATTTGTAAAACTAAAGTTCAGTTATTTACCAAAGGCACAGTGAAAACATGTGCTTTTAACACACTTTGGATGCCTTGATGCTGCATTACTATCTAGGGAGGTGAAGGTGCATGTGGAGCCATTACAGAGTGAATGCATTTGTGGAAAAAAGGTTACACTGAAATGCAACTCAATCCCGTAACCTTTGACCCTCAGCATCAGTGGCTTAGTAAGCAAATCAGAGAGCATTCATTTCTCAGAATTCAACTTCACAGTCCTGCCACTGCAAACCACATTAACAAGACAAACCAAATGGGATATAATGACAACAATGGAGCACACAGACACTGACTATCCCCATCCACACACTTATACGTGAACACCCAGTCCCTCCCTCTCGAAAACTCATACACTCTCACAAAGAAGACCTAAATGTAGGTACACTCTGTGAAGTGAATGACCCCTCTCTGCTTGATGTTCTTCTGATAGGATTTCTCTTTGAGAGCTGTATTGAGGTCATGGGTCACCATTTTCCTGTTGCTTACATCAAGCTGATGAGAATAGAAGAGGGGAGAGAATGCAGGTGAGACTGGATCAGTTCATCACTCCTACAGGCCACTCAAAGCAAGACACTGTGGATACCACATCTCGGAATGTGACTGAAAAATGCTATAAAACATTCATAAATGAAACTAATTAAAGGTGAATTCAAATGATATTCCAGAGCAGGAGTTTCGATCTTGTTTGCCTTTTGTTAGCAGAACCGGTATGACTAAAATGTTTACTTGACGTAATGCTTAGCGTACAGAAAATGTCATAACAGCTTCACATGTAATTAGAATTTTTTTTAATTAATTAACATTTAATAGCTTTTAAAGATCATGTACTTGTTTTATTTAATTCTAACTTTATATGTCTTTTTAATGATACACTTTTGTTTAATTGATCTTGGCATTAGCATTTCTATCACAAAAGAGTGCTAAATTACTAAATGTAAATGTAAACTCATATTGTTATTTTTTGTATTATGTATATAATATTACAGTATTTTGAATGAGCTTTTATTAATAATAATATAATATAATCTTTTATTTGCTAATTTTCATTTTTTATATGCTTTTGTTTTTTTATTAGTATTCTTTCAATATTTCTATTTAGCTTTCATTTTAATTAAATTTTTATTTCTGTTTTAGTTTCAGCAATTCTAATATTCCAGCTTAAACTTACAGTATTTTATTTCAGTTAGGTGCCAAGGCAACATTTCTCATTTTAATTTTTTTAAAAACATTTTTCATTTTTCATTCATTTTTCTAACATTATTTTATTTGAGCTTTATTTCAATTAACAAAAAGTTTTAATTAGTTTTAGTTAACGATAAAAACAATGAAACCCTGTTTTATTGCATACAAATAAGACTATATATTTAAACTACATATACAATATGTGCATACCAATATTACCTACATTTTCTACACATAATGACAAAACACTTTTTCTTACACACAAATAACACCCAAAATTCTATTTCCAATAGATAAATACAGTAGTCTTTTTTGGTTTTAGTTAGTTAATTACCTAATGAGAGCAAAACAGTTTGACAAAACACACAGGAGTCACATAAAAATCAACAGATGTTTAGTGTGTGATTGATTTTGCTCTAATATTCATACAGACAATCAGTGACCCTGGGAGAACCTAGTGATCATTCAATAGTGCTTTCAACACTGATAGACACCCCAGGGACTGTGGAATTTATTGCAAGTGGTGAATGTGGAAAAAATCTCTGACTTTGTTTAGTTACTCAAGATACTGTTGATAAGGGTAGAGTCTAGCAGTCCAGGAGACCCATCTTCCTCTTAAGGGACTCGGGCATCTCAGGGGGCGGTGGACGGGGCAGACGGAAGTACACCTTCACTGAGTCGTAGATGAACCACTGTAGTGCGGTCAGTGTGCCAATCATAATGATTCGAGCAAAAAGACCCTTCCACACACCTGTGGGAAAAACAGTGCCCATATGAACATTCATTTATACACAGATTGACTAGACCTGTTACTAAACTGTGCTAATCTATCCCTCTTATCTCATGTCATGACACTTAAACATGCCAATAAATAATTAACAAAACGAATTGGTCATTACTAATTTCTAATGAGATCCCTATGATGCTGAGCTGATCAAATGGGAATAAATCCAGGAACAACAGCCTCCTCTTTTGGTAATAAAGAGTATTACATCCCTCTGCAACCTCAGTGAAATGGTGCTTCAAGGTCTAAAGTCTTTTATGAACAATATAATAACAATAAACATGTATAAACAGTTTTTAACAAATTAAAAAAAAAAAACAATTTGAGAGGGGGAATAAACAATGTTATACAAAGAGAAGCAGAAGATGCCTAAACAAGCGAATAGCTTTCAGTTTTTTGTTTGAGGGCAAAATTGATTCAGTATAATGTATTACTTATTTTTTAAATACCTAAAAGCATGGTTTCTTTCCTGAGAATTTGCATTCATCCATATAGAATTTAGCCTTCAAGAAATATAAAAACTATAATAAAAAATAATATAATAATAAATAAATAAATTCGACCACAGGGTGGTCCTTTGACATAAATTGCACATGCTACAGTTTACATCTGTATCTTTAATCAACAAAGTATTTATTTGATCAACAGCTGTTGACTGTTATGTGTAATATATGTGTATGCAGTGACTCACCTGCAGGGCCCAGACTTTTCAGCACCTCAACAGTTGTATAAACAGTTTTTAACAAATTAAAAAAAAAAACAATTTGAGAGGGGGAATAAACAATGTTATACAAAGAGAAGCAGAAGATGCCTAAACAAGCGAATAGCTTTCAGTTTTTTGTTTGAGGGCAAAATTGATTCAGTATAATGTATTACTTATTTTTTAAATACCTAAAAGCATGGTTTCTTTCCTGAGAATTTGCATTCATCCATATAGAATTTAGCCTTCAAGAAATATAAAAACATATACTCATATGTGTGAGTTTGTTTTTCTGACTCGCATGGAGACCCAACAGCACGTTTCCATTGTCAAATAAAACCTTTTCACCACCTCAACAGCTGAACTGCCTTTCTCTTTATTCAGTACGGACACCACAGAGTCAGCGGGATGGGACACCACAGCACAGAACACGCCAGCTGAGAACAAACATTCAACACAGCTTATATGTATCTATATCTATTGATGCAAACTTGAGCCAGTTCTCTTTTCAGATATATATCATGCTAATCTGTATGTCTAAATGTTTCTAAACTTGTACCTAAGGGCCTAACCACTTTTGAAGTTAACTTACCAATATAACCAGCAACAAAGGTCACCACCAGCTGCTCAGGTTTGGAGCACTCACTGCGCGGTTTTGGTACTATGTACTTGTACAGCGTCTCCACGGTTCGCTCGAAACAGGCAAACTTCATCATGGTGTAGGGGATCTGCCTCAGCCACAAGGGATAAAGACCTTTATAGAACCTGCACAGACAATAACACCCACAATCAGGACTCCAGCATGTTTTTCCACTAAAGAACCTTTAGGTTCTTCATGGAACTACTGATGTTGCTTAAAATGCCTTTATTTTTAAGAGTGCAATGCAGTCAACGACAGTCATTTTGTACAGTTTGGTCAGCCTTAACCCTCTAGATGTCTTTTTTGAGCAAAAAATAAATAAATAATAATAATAATTTGCGCTTGATGAATTATATATATATATATCTGAAAATATACATATATATATATATATATATATATATATATATCTTTATATCTTTTTTATTTATTTATACAATATATAGCCCTGTATAAACATTTAGAAAATACATTTGCTTCATTTGAACTGTAATTGGAAATAATGCATTTTTGCTTCTAATATTTGTATAGAAAAGGTTTAGAAGTAAATATGGTCTAGATTCATGAAATCCCCTCAAAAATGTGTTATTATTAAAGAATAAATATTACTGAAACAAAATATGGCATTCATTTCATAATTCATTTCATTAACAAAAAAAGCTTATTTGGTACGTTTAGACCTCCGAGGATCGTAAGTGTGACCCCTAAGTGAGGAATACCAGAGGGTTAAGGATCTACTCACGCTTTTAGCCCCTCCTCAGCATGCATTTTGGGGCCGCACTCTCTCAGGGTGTTAGCATAGCCGGGCTGCGTCTGGATACGCACTTTACACGCTTCCATAGGAGCCAGTGCAATATCCACATTCTGACAGTCGGAGTTCACTTTAAATATAGTAGCGTATTTTCACTGAGCATCCAACAACCAACCAACAACTGAGTAATGCCAGCAACCAAAAAATGTCCAAAAAATCGTATAACACATAATAACAACCATAACAATTACTGCAAACAAAAAAGCAACCTAAATAAATACTAGGAAAATAACAAATAATAAATAATAAATAAAACAAATAAAATATAAGAGGACAAAATAAAAAAAATATGCAAAAGTCATATTCCATGTCTAATTTTTGCAACCAACTTTCCAATTCAGAAGATAAAGACGAAGAACTTCTTACCATCATAAGCTGCTGCAGCAAGTTTGCGTTTTATCTGCTGGCTCTCTTGTTGCTGTTGTGGTTTCATGGAAAAAAGAGGAGTCTGGAAAGGATTCAACCGTGCCTGCTGTGTTAGGGCAATTGGGTACATTTTCACCAGGGTTTACTGCTAAAACAGACAGGTGACAATTAAAATCAAACAAAAGTAAGCCGTTCTTGCATACATTGCTTAGAAATAAAGCACTTATCTCTCATTCAAGTATTTGAGAAATTCATATTGAAAGAAATAGTCCACTCACTTGTTGGTTGTAAAGAAACGGCGCCTCCTGGGTGCATCAGCGGCAGGTGAATCTAAGACATCAGATGACCTCAGACTAAATCCCCCTGACCTTCTGTGACGTCATCACACTGAGAATGAACACCAACCCATTTGAAAGAGGAATTGTTATTATGGGCCACACTAACATTCATAAAAAAATGAAAAAATAAACCACACCATTCTGTGTTGAGTTGTTGGTGTAAATATGTGTCCAACTAAATTATAGTAACTGATGGTTGAGTCTCACTGCAAACTTCAGCTCATGGTAGTGTGTGTGAGCTTATTACGCACAGCAGTGGCTGGTGTAAGGCGATTAAACGCAATGAGACTCTCTATTCCTGGACCAGAGCAGAGGGCCTTGCAGAGTTATATCCTCCTTACCTATCCCAGATCAAAGTAAGGTCAGACTTTCCAGTGTCTCTGTGAAGAACTGCTGCAAACCCCCTCTCAACTTGAAGGCAATACATTTAGTAGAGGAAGTGTGCTAATAAATTAGGTCAAACATATACACACACACTTATCAAAATAAACCAGCCAACTGAGATGTAGATGATATGAGGTAAACTGCTTTATTAAACCATATTCTGTCATATATATAAAAAGTACCTGAACGCTCCCAGATTTCTCACAAATCTACAGCACCTTATAATATAAAATAAATACATATTCAGAATATTGAATGGTAAATGCATCAGTCTTAAAAGCAGAGTAAAGGGCATAATGGTGGCCATTTTACCCATTGTCCAGTTCTACCAATGTAACATCAAGTATCAGGATCTTACAATGTTTATGAACCCAAATTTTTAAAGTCACTCAAATTTAATAGTGATAATTTCCAAATTTGAGAACTAGACAGTCGAGTTCTTGTTGCAAACTCTCAATTAGGTTGTTCAAATTAATTGTTGACGTTACAAAACTACTTGTAACGCCAAGATCCCAAAATAACAAAAATGAAATGGATTAAAATGATAAAAAGATTAAATGGCATTACATTGCAAAACAGTTTATTGAAAATATTTGTATTTCAGCAACATACACAAATACTACAAGGGCCGTCAATGTTAAGATACGGCACCTATAAAGAGCTACATGTGAAAATAAATGCAAAAATAGTCACAAGTAGACACTAAATGTAGTTTACAAACAAAACAAGTGTATTTAGCTAACTCCTTCAGCACTTCAACTCAGTTAGACTCACATTCATTGACAGCACCAACAATTATCTGTAAAATAATGTACAAATGACACACACACACACACACACACACACACACACATACACATACACACTCAACATACAAAAGGCAAGAAAAGTGACCGTTTTAAAATTAAAACCAGGCTTCATTCCTCTAAACCGGTTCATTTGGAAGAGGGTATGAACAGACATGATGCAAAAGCTGGGGCTTTCTGTCTTTGTATGAATCTATAAAGATCGCAGATAAAAGTCCACGGCTGCTGTATCAACGGAGACGTACTGCCCGAGTATGATGATGAGGGAAAAGACTGGGGCGATCCGCATAACATTCATTTGCTGGTGCTATCATCTGCGCCGCTCTGCTTGAAGAGTCCAACCTCATTAGTCTCCATGGCCTGGTAGACAAAGAACAGGAATCCAGCGACTGCACTGAGCAGCAGAAGCTGCACCCACACAGGCAGGCTGCGCCGCGCTCTGGTCTTCACAGCAGGGGGCGCCACGAGCTTGGAAGCGGTTACACGTGGAACAGATCGGGTCTCTGTGTAGGTGGAGGAGGAGCTGGTTTCTCTGAGCTCCTTAAGACGGAGACGGGATTCGTCCAGCCACGCGTCACCGACCAGAGGCCGGCCAGCTGCTCCTCTGATTGGTCGGCGACAGGTAGCACTAAAAATACATTTGAAAAATAAGTAAATATTTTGAAAAAAATCTGCTTCAAGGAAATTTACCTCGTTTTAAAAGTTTTATTTTTTTAATAAAAAACAAGAAAAAAAAAAAAGACATACTTTTCCAAAAATACTTTTACTTTGTCCATACATTTTAAAAAAAATTGATTTATAGTGGTTTACTTGCAATCTTTTGGTACTTATCGGTTAGCTGAAATTATCTGTTGTTTGTGTATACAAAAATTCAGTTTTATAGGTCATAACACTCATTTGTTCAGAATTAAAAAAAAAAAAAAAAACAATGCCTACAATCACTTGAATAAAATTCTTTTATGATAAGCATGTTAATACTTTTGATATTTTTTGGGAGACAAAAGTCAGTGTGATACAACTGTCTGAAAAGAACCAAGTTGTTTGCCACAATCTTTTATTATTATTTTATAATTACATTTTTTTCTTTAAAATTGTATAAGTTTAAAGGGAGTTTTAAATCAGATTTGTAAAGACATGGACGCTCTTATTTCTGTTTGACTCTGGTGTTTGATCAGTGCAAGTGCTCTTCCCTCCATACCTGATTCCAGTAGGGGTGCTGAGGTTTTCATTGGGAAAGATCTCTTTAAGCACATCTCTCTCTACCGTCCTCGGGGTCTGATCAATAGCAGACACCTTTTCAACCTGCGCACAAAGACAGCCACAAAGACGTGAACACTGGTGCGGGATATAACATCACCACAAACATTGCAATACTGAAGATCCATGTTGTCAGCTTTCACTTTAAAAACAAAAGAAACACGTTACATCACACCACAGCCGTGCATAACCTCAGTGACTCTTGAATCCCAAGTTTCCTCATTACCTTTACACACCTGTGGAGCCAAAAACCATAAAGATCATGAAATTACCGTTGTTGTCTTTGGCGTCTCCGTCTGGCTGCTATCAAGTCCTCGGACAAAAGTGATTTGGGAAAAGAAAGGGGTGATTTTGGACTGTCTAGTCTTGGTCTTTGGTGAGCCAAAGCTCTCCTGATAAACCAACAACGTAAACTACAGCTCGAAATTCATGTAACATTGTAACCTATTACCATGTCAAAAACAAATGTCCATAAATGAACAATTATTCAACTGCAAACCTGGGAATGGTCATATGAGACAGGAAGAGAGTCCTCTGAAGCTGTACGTGGGGAAGAATCCCTAAAAGAAACTGAGTGTGATGGGAAAACCTCTCTTCGGCCATCACAGGAAGGTGAAAGACAGCTCACCATGTCTATCAAGGGTTTGGAAGGTTTGGTTTGACTCAAATGAGGCTTTGAGAGCTTCGATACGGTGACAGATTTGACTTCCTGTGCCTTCAGAGAACAGAACAGAACCTCGTGAGCTACTAAAATGAATGTTTAAAACGGTTATGAACTATCCGTGGATTGCCACGAGACGTACCACAGGAGCACGGCTCGAAGGTCTACAGTTCAGTATGTCCTGCATACCCTGGCCATCCACCTGAGATTATGAAAATGTAAGTTAAGATCCTTTATGTTGCACAAATATGCATTTTGAGGCTGACTAGATGGACAAAAGTACAAAATGGTGGTTTGACATCTATTATACGTTGATTTAGAGCTAAAACCATTAATTAATGATGGATGTGTGTGTATTATCACCTCAACGCAAGCAGTATTAAGCAGGGAAACGAGCGGCTCTCGATTGGATGGTCTAATCGGAGGGGAAGTGAATTCAGCGGCATTCTCATCAAACTACAGAGAAGACATTTGAGTCACACACACACACACACACACACACACACACACACACAAAAAAATGACCAACTCTATTAAATGTGATGCTTTCATTCTCAAGTTGAAAGACATGGAAGATTTATAGAGGGTTGGCACCTTGTCAGCAGGAGTGGCGCCATGTAAACCGGATAAGGCAGACTGGTAAGGAGACCCATAAATGTGCCATTTTAGTGATTCTGCCCAGTTAATTGCAGAAATGGAGGAGCGCTTTGAGGGTTTGGGATCCTTTGGCTCTACCTTTAATATGACACCATAAGAAACACTGTGGCACTGGAAAATGAGCTGCATCATGTTCATGTATGAGGTTTCTTCTGGACCTACCAAAGGTTGTACTTTCATCCTCACCAGAGGAATAGAGACCTTCAATACTGAGGGCTCAGAGAAATCCTACGAGACATGATTTCCAAAAAAACAAACAAACAAATGAGGCATGTTGTTCCAAACCTGTATGAATTTTCTTCAGTTGAACACAAAAGATGACATTTTGAAGAATGTTGGTAACCACATGCCGGTAGCCATTCACTTCCATAGTATTTTTTCCATACCATAGAAGTCAAAGCAAACCTGTTTAACTGCCAACATTCTTCAAAACACCATCTTTTCTGTTCAACAGAAGAAACTCACTCACACAGATTTGGAACAACTTGCGGGTGAGTAAATTATAGAATTACATTGAGAACTTCAATTGTTTTGCCTTTCAAATTAAGATCTCAGATGAGGGGTTTTAAGCAGAACGACACCTTATCAGTAACAGGAGCCTCATTCAAATCAGGCCGATATGAGCGGACTGGTGCGCTGCGTCGTCGCAGAAATTCAGTCTTAGATGAGAGCTTTGACGTCTTGTCTGTGAGCAAAGGTCTGGGCTCTTTTCTTGTTGCCTTTAATATAAGGACAAAAGCATGTTCATGAAGTCAGTCTCATAATTTAGACAGTTGGCACTACGCCAGTGTCATGGCCACCTACCACAAGTCCTGTTCTTCTCCTGTCTTGAGTAACAGGGAAGTACTCTGCAGATGAGAGCTCAGAGTTCTCCTGAAAACACCACACATGCATACAAACCCCATTTACCATTGAGTAATAAAGTATATTTCAGCCGTGGCTCATTTGTGAAACAAATATGAGCTCAACCAAACCCTGTCCACCCGTGTGCAAACCCAAATATGTTTTTTTTTTAACTTTATCATCACACCCAGAAACCAGGTGATGCACATTAATATCATAACCACAGATTATGTTACAGTGTCGTCGCTTGCAGGAACCATCTGATCCAGCCTGTGAGAAGATCTCTTCAACTTTCTCTTAATGTTCAAAACTGGCAAATCTTCCTCCTGCTTATGTTCCTCATCCTCCTACACATCACACAACAAAAGGTCTAGAATTTTCCATACATGAGTAAATGGCTTATCTGATACTGACAGCAGGTATGACAACATTCAAATGTGGAGCAGTCATGTGACCACCTGCAGTAGGTCAGATCTCTTCTACACCAGGTGGTGCTACTGAACCCTGAACAGATAATGCTGGGAAAATATGCAGGTAGGAACATCGCATGGGGGAAAAAATTGCAACTGTTTATATTAGAGACAGTAAACAGTAAAGGGCGAAAGGAT